CACCTGGGGGGAGGCCTAGGAAAAATTTTTTTACGCTACCCCCGGACGACGGCCCCCCCTCCCCGGTAAATATCGTACAGTCCCTTAGTTTCCCGACTAACGTTAACATCAGATAAAAGACCATGTTGATTTGATTTACATCTGTATGGATGAGATTATGTGGGAATCCCAAAACTCATGCAAGCTTGCGAAAAAAAAAGTGTGGCAAAAAAAGTTGCCTTCATTTTGAAAATACGTATTTATTTTGCAACTTACAGCATATATTTACTCAAGCAGGTCTCCCATATATTCATCACATCAACATGATGATAAAATGTGTTTGTTCCTGCACTTTTTCTTTTTTTACTTTTAAAAACTTTTTGTATGATTACTACTATTCTTCATTTTTGAGGCGATCAGTAAATATTACATATACAGTTACATATCCAGTATACATCATACTGCACATGAACATGTTGTGGAATTTAATGAGCATATCGCATAACACATTCCTAAAAGTGATAAACTATATAACGTTCGTAGAACTTAGAAGTTTGACCATCGTGACATGATATTGGCCTGCAGGGTTTGGATGCAGATGTGTTTGAGGAGATCCTGAGTTACATCTACTCGGGAACCCTCCAGGTGTCCCTGGACAGTGTGCAGCACCTGTACCATGCAGCCGACCTCCTGCAGCTGGACTATGTGAGAGACACCTGCAGCAGCTACATGGTCAGGAATGTGGAGCGCTCCACCTGTGTGGACCTCTACAAGTTTGCTGATGTCTTCTCTGTGAAGATTGTCATGAAAGCTTGTCTGCAGTCGATTGCCAGGAACTTTACTGAGGTTTGTCTCCATTGGCGACTGTGTATCTTTGCTTGATAATGCCTTTTAGTAGAATTTGAGTTCTGTTATAACTGATGTTATTAAAGGGTCACAGTGGGAAAAGAGATTTTTTTTCAGCAGAACAAAGAGAAGAGTTTTGTGTTAAAGAGCAGGGATGAGGACCCTGGGTCCTCCACCAATAAAGAAACTATCCCCTGTACTCGAGGATCTAGTAGCTAAATTGACCCCGCACATCCTCCCAACATCATAAATGGATTATAAGCCACGGGGTGTCTGAACCCGACTGCCAGTGGAAACAATGGGAGCAGACGACAGACAGTGATTTGCATATTAACTGACGTTTGAAGTTTTGAAAAATGTTGTTTTTCAACAAAACATTGCCATACAAGGAATGACACAGACAGTTGCAGCAAACCTAAACACAATCCATGTAACATTTACTTGGCAGTCGTTATACACGATAAGGGCCTACAGTTTCCAATTTGAACAATTCCAGCTGAGATGATCCCCTGTCAAGCTTCCATGTTTGTTTCAAAAACTTATATCTGTAATCACAAATTGCATGTCTTATCCACAGCCAAACTAGATTTCTATTGATATGATAGTTGTATGTTAACAAATATACAATGTAGAAACATGTAGAAACACATTTGGCGGCTTCTTGCATTATATTAGAATCCAAGTCTGAAATGCTGAATAGATGAAGTCCCAGTTTACCAGGATTGGCATAGTACATGCCTGTGTAGTTATTAGTCTATATTCTTGTTGTTTAGTAAAATATTATATGTACTTTTCATGTACATATCCATGTCTCCACATAATGTTGAAGAGGTGTACTTGGTATACTATCTCAGCCTAGCTCTCCCCATGTGTTCACCACGGCTGCCAGTTGCAGAATGAGCTGTGAGAGTTTACAGTACCCGAATTTATTGGGTGGTTTTATAGTCCAACCTTCCTCTTTAAGGTACACATCTACATGTACAAGCCGAGACATCTGTGCTGTGCAATTCGAACTGAATTGCCCTGAGGAAGGTGACAGATAACCATTGAAACATGGGCTGAATTAAACAATTGGTTGCATAAAAAAAGAGCCTATTTATCCAGATCAAAACGGAACATTCTGTTCAAAGTTAATTTGTTACAATTTCTTTGAGTGGTGCCATACATGTACATGTAACATGTTACATGTTCTCTGTACCTCCACAGATTGCCTCCAGTGAGGAGTTCTGCAGCCTGAGTGTGGATCAGCTGACTGAGATCATCAGCCATGAAGAACTGGATGTTAAAGAGGAGACAGGAGTGTGGGAGGCTGTGGTGAGATGGGTGCAACACAACAAGGAGGACAGGTGGGCAGCAGTGTTCTATCAGGGCATAATGTAAATCACTTTATATTTGCAGTAGCAAAAGTTCGTAGTCTGAGAAAAATGGCCATGTTTGCAGAGGCAGCAGGTGCAGCAAAAGGAAAGCTGGCAGTACAGAAGTGACCACAAAAACTACCATGAAATTTGAATGTAGAAGTACCACGAAAAAATTGTGATTTACAGTATATTGTAGTTGTAACTTGAAATAAACACAAGAAGACACACTTCACTTCTTCTGTGACTGGGGTCCATTCCCAATTTCGTGGATTGATTTTTTCGTGAAAATTATGCTTTGTCTGTTAATTTCACTAAAGCTAAAAATGGTGGTTGAAGAAACAAACCTCGGTATCGAAAGGGATATCCCTAACAACCCAAATACAGTTATTTGGCTTCTGAATGATTATCCCCACAATTTATTTTGCTTCTGAAGTTCTGAGTGATTATCTTCTGCCAGGAAATACCATGGCAGAAGATGCACCCTCAAATGGAAAAGTGAAATAAACTGGGGTGTGCCCCTATAATTCATCAGAAAGATACACAATGTACCAGGAAACCAGCTGACTCCACCCTTACCCTGTACCCTACAGACTGCAGCACCTACCCAGTATCCTCCCTCACATCCGCTTCAACCTGCTGACTCCGTACAACATGGTGACCATCTTAGACCACCCCCTGGTCAGAGAGGATCCTGGGAGATCGGTCATCAGGAATGTGGTAAAGGATGCGTCCAACCAGAAGGGGAGGTTGGGGGCAGACACGCTGGAAATGGCTCTACTTTTCCCTGAAGGGTACAGGGCCTTTCCTTATTCATCAGCATTGTATTTTCCTGAATCCCCTCAAATCTGGAATGCTTTATTAAACCTGAACTGAGAGATTTGTGCATCGATATCGTTACTTTGGTCTTCCAGGTTAAGAATTGTTGTTTATTGTTAAATATTGAGTTGTTTTTAGTTATTTCTTAGGCCACACTAATTTAATTTCTTGGTTAACGGTTTTTCTAGAAAAATAATGGAGTGGGCGGCTGAAAAAAAAACAGGCCTAGGCATCCTATTATGATCCAAAATGGTACGACAGGAGCCATGAAGTCAACACACCAGGCTGGTTCAAAATTTAAACAATGAATTTTGAACTTTTAATGATACCATTGCATTGAAAGATGGAATAACTGTAACAACTAGGAAGAAAAGGACTGTTTTCAACTGTTCCGGGCAAAATATGAGCATTTTGCAGTTGATTCTGAATTTTTATTTTTATTTGCAAATCAGAAAAAAATGAAGCGGGCAAATCCGTTAACCAAGAAATTAAATTGGTGTGGCCTTAGTTATCATTTCATTGAGATGATAAGTAAGAAATAATTAAAAACATTGTATTTTTGCCTCACAGCTATCAATATGCTATGGGATAGGGTTGGTACTACATGTATATAAGAAAAGATACATTGACGTTGAAAATCCAGTTTTACTGATCTGAAATCATTTTGGGTGCTTTTAAATTTCTGTGATTCTGATTTCATGCTGGTATCCCTCTTCAGCATTGATATTTTGTGGAATCTAAGAACCAACATGGGTGACGTCTGTATTGGTACCTGTATAGCCAGTGAGTATAACCACCCTGTAGTGTAACACATCAGGCACATGGCGCACCGGTAGCTGGTTACTAGTATTACATTGAATGACTTAGCCTAGCCTACACCTACATTTTGTAACCTTTGCACATCTAACTCTAAACATTGCTTAAAGCTATCGAGTGATGATGTACTTGATGGCAGCTGTCATTGATTCGTTACATCTGCCTTTGCAGCTCAACTGAGATGCTGTGGATGAATCCAGGAGAAGATAAGTACATCAAGTGTCAGTATAACCTATATCCGCTTGCTGGCACTGTCACTCGTGATAACGACATCTACATCCTGGCTGAAGAGTCACACCGTAATTGTGTCCTGTTCAAGTACAACCATGTCCAGAACAACTGGAAACGGATGTCTAAAGTACCAAGGGTGGTAGGTAGTGACCGGCACAATGACTACCTTCTGGAAATCAATGGTGATCTTTTTTACCTTCTCGTGGTATCGTCAAAGTTGGTGTTGAAGGAATATGACCATCTCACAGACGAGTGGTATGACTGTTCAAGGCCTGAGCACGACGGGCGGTTGGCCTTTAACGCAGCAGTGTCCTGTAATGATCGCATCTACCTCTTCACACAGACAGAACTACATAGTTACGACCCAAGGGAAGACCAGTGGTGCAGGAAAGCTCCATCAGACTACATTTCTCAGGTCGATAATGCTGTTGCCATGGGTACAGAGATCTTCTGCACGAATGTGAACTTTGAGAAGACTTTGGTGTACGACACAGAGGCAGACAGCTGGTCAGAGCTTTCAGGGTGGCAGGACACAACTCACAGCATTGAAAACATCACTGTCTTTGTACTCAAGAACAAGCTGCATGCAGTGGTAGACAGCTTTAATGAAGAGATAGAAAATATCCTACTGGTGTTCGTGTATGACAGGGTTGAAGATGTCTGGAGTGAGTTGGATACCTTGCCTGCTAGGGATTGGGATATGTTTCGTCCTATGTTCCCTGTTGCTCGGATGTACCTTCCACATCTGAACGCCAGCCAGTAGGTACAGTAGGTACAGGTCTGGGCCTGAACATCTAGTAGACCTCAACAAAATTGAACACTTGAGGACACGATTTTTAACACGTAAAAGTTGTTAAGGTAACGTGTTACATGTACACAGTTCTACCAGCCATGTTCCAAATCCAGGGGCTCATGGAGAGTAACCAATGGTGTCCACATTTCAGTCCAACAAACCAGAGAATGTACATCTATTGGGACATTGTGGAGAGTCTTTGTAGTTTGGATTTAGATTCTGCAGACTACGAAGTTGATTTCCTTGTCAAAGTTGATCTTATAGTTGTTTCCATGGAACAAAGAGAAGGCACTGTGGTCACCAGGAAATAGTTGCCTCTCCAGAACTAAGGCCAAGAGAAAAAATGCTGTGTTTCTGGTTTCAGTCCTGAAAAAATAGGATCGACAGGAAGGGGATTTCTTTTATTTTTTTAAATATTTTTTAGAATTCGGCTAATGTTATCCAGCAAATAAAGTTTAAATAGTAAATAGTGCATAGGAACTGTCTCAAGGACCCATCCACCTGTTTGCTTGTGAACAAGTATTTTACCTGATTTACTGCAGAAAAATACGTTAAATGGCATTTCAAACTTAAAATTCAGATGTCATCAAAAATTTTATATCCTTACCAGCGGTTGGTAAACAATAAAGACTTGGGTCAGCAGCTTTTGCTTTGGTCAGTTGGGAAACTGGAAACAAAACATTATTTCCTACATGTTGACCTCAGCAGTCCTGTCATACAGTAGTTTAGTTTAGTACATTTTATGGATGACATCCTCAACAGACCCAATTCTTTATTTCCATAACATTACAGACATACAATATGGAATTATAATGTTGCCTGAATGGCATTGGTATTTTACATTATAAACCTTGTTAAGCAAGAAATTATACTAATACCTGATATTGTGGTAGCCTGGTTTTTCCGTAAACCCTGTTGTTACTTTTTCTTATTAAATCCTCAGAAAATGTATGTGACTTGATGAGATGTTGTTGACATACAGGCATCAATGTACTATATGCTGTATATATGTACTAAAATACATCAATCCCTCGCTTTTCCATGGGTGTACAGTTGTGTCAAACAAAGCGTCTAGTACGGTATTGCGGCCACAACTGCAATACTTAATACATGGAACTGATGGTGAGTTCAGCACCAAGGAGAGGTCCACACTTTAGTCTAGGCGTTTGGTGCAAAATATGGGTAGAATTGCTCAGTTTGTGATAAAAGCATGAGACTTGGCATGCTGAAGCATGAGTACCTAATTAACATTTTCAAGGGTGGAGCCATTGCAAAAAAGTGTCTTACTTAGCAACGGTTGCTAGGCAACTTGTTTTTCCAAGCAAACAGTATTATTACCTTCTAATTGTGCCTAAAAACCAAATATATTGTGCAAAAATGAGTTGTATTGCTGTATCTGACATCACTTTGTATGTTTAAGTCAATTTAAAACAAAACTTACCATAAAAGGCTGGTTTTGGGGGGAATTATAAGTCGAAAAGTGTATAAATTAGATTTCATAGGCTGCATATTTTCTCGTTACCTATGGGGCCTTGAAAAGCATATTTGATTGATAGAGCTGAACATTCTCAGAATGGTTTCTTACAAACTTTAAATTTCAAAAATCCATCAGTTCTATCAGGAGATATAAGTGTTTGAAGAAGAACACATCCACAGACTTAAATCAGTTGATTGGTTGCTATGGCCGTTGCTAGGGACGGCTTAATTTTTGGGCTGTGGTCTGTACATTTTGGCTTTTGTGCCACTATATTAAGGTCCAACGGCATGAAATTTGGCATGAGGATAGCTTGGTTTCATGTGCAATAATTGTGAATTTTATGTTTTAGATTCATGCCTGAAAAATTTTATGATTTAGCTTATTTTGGGTAAAAATAAGCAAAAATGTATATTATTGGCTTCTGTACAACTATATGACGGCCAAATAACCCAAGTTTCTGTATGGGGATAGCTTGGCACTATGCACTAAGATAGTGTGTTTCATGTTTTCGATGAAGACTTGAAAAATTCCATTATTTATCTTTTTTCATTACAAATAACAAAAAATGTATATAATTGGCTTCTGACCCACTGTACTATGGTCTCGTCAATTGAAATTGGACATACATGTAGATGGGGAGGGGGAGAGCTTTGGGGCACTTTTATTAGGTACAGGCATTCAGAATCCTATTATTAAGCTTATTTTAGATAAAATAGCCAAAATAAGAAAATGTTTCTTGTAGTGAAAATATACAAGAAAGAAATCTTTGAACATTCTCTTGCTCTTTTCTTATTTCTTCTTAATTTTTCTTGAAATTTCTTCATGTAAGGAAATTTGCCCACGAATTAAGAAAAACAAGAAAAATCATTTTTTGTAATGTAGCTTGTTTTGGGTTATTTCAAACGCTTCAAATATAAAATAATGCCGTAAATATACCAAGATATGGAAGTAAACGTCAATATCAATATCTGACAGATTTCCTCTCCTGAATATTTTTGGCGACGTCTCAGGGAGGAGCCTAATGGTACAGTATTGTGTGCAGTTTGCAAGAATTCTAGGAGTGGTACAGACATTTTGTCCACAGGAATGGAATGTCCACAGGCATGTCTCTGACCCACATCTATGCCCACATTCCTGAAAACCCTTGAGAAAACCTGTCTGCCCCGGATGGCCCTACTTTCTGTGACCCCAGGGCTCGTTCACTATATATACACTCAGGGGAGGAGTGCACTGTTTCTGTCTAGACTTAACAGGTACCAAGTCTTCCTCAAAATCATGAAATGATGGCAGTGCCATGCAAACAATAACCCTAACGGCAACAACCGTCGCCATGGCAATGGATGTTTTCATACCAGTCTTGTTGTTTTTGCCGCCACGACATTGCACTGAATGGTGGGGTGAAGTCTAGACACATGTATTACATGTGTAGATGTTGAAAATGTTTCCATTCACACACATTATTGCATTACTGTTGCATTCTAAAAGGTGTTTTGATACAAGTTGAGTTTTCCATGATTGTTTTAATGCATAGATACATATACATGTACAGTAATACATAATGCAGCAATAACAAAACTTTCTTCAAGTATTCCAATAGCAATAAAACAAGTTAGGAATACATTAGTAGTACATGCAATATAGGCAGCGCATACATATTTTTCAAATCAGATTGACAACAATAGGTTATGATAACAATTGTAAGTAGACCACCATTTGTTAAACAATGTAGAGCAGCTGTTAGTATCTACTCCACATACAAATAGCCCTTACAGGGACAAATTGTGTGTGTGTGTGGGGGGGGGGGGAAGGGGGGCATATACATGACATTGTGTACACATGTTGACCACTTCCAACAGCATGTGAGATTACAGACAGGTAGGGAAGCTATCTGTGATGAGTTACAGTATGATATGTGTAAAACTATGTACTCTGGCTTTTCGGAAACAGAAGAAGATGGCTAAACCTAATAGTATATAAGACTACACTTAATACAATCACTGGGTCAGTCTACTGAGGAAGACCAGAGTGACTGGTCGAAAGCTCTAGGTGACAGAATTTCTTCTTTGTGTTGGATCAAAAGTTTGAACTTTAAAACATCAACACAGTCTTGTTTCCCTGGTATTGTCTAACAGTTACACTCATCCTGATAAAGAATTTTGCCACTGCTACTGAGTACATAAGGCACTTGCTACACTCTACTCTCACTAGCAAAATGACCAAATTCAAGCAGCTAACTGTACAAACATAGTTGGGTACATGTGTTCTGTATGTCTGAAGCAAAGGGACATCTAGTCATTATAGAAGACGTTTTGAGTCCTCTAGGTGCTGTACTTCTATGCTGTAAAACTGGAATATGACAATGTCATCCATATTGTACATTGTATACATGTAGATCATTCTTCTTAAGGCCATACCAATTTAATTTGTTGTTTCTCAGATTCGCCCTGTCCATTTTTTTCTGATTTGCAAAAAAAAAAAAAAGATTTCAGGTTCTGAATCAACTACAAAATGCTCTATAAAAGACATATTTAGTCCTTTTCTTCCTAGCTGTTACTGTTTTTTTAATGTAAAATTAACAATGCAACTTCATTTCATTAAAAGTTCAAAATCTATTGTTTTAATTATAAACCAGCCTGGTATGTTCACTTCATGGCTCATATCGTAACATTTCTGGCCTTCTTGGGGTGCATTGGCCTGTTTTTTTTTAATTTTTATTTCGCCCTGTCGCTTCATATTTTTTTGGAAAAAATCTGAGAAGCAACAAATTAAATTGGTGTGGCCTAATATGGAGAAAAAAAGGGAGATCTACAAGTGTGAGTTACTCACTACATTTTGTACTATAAGGGATGTAGCATTGTACAGATGTACATGGAAACAAATACAGTATGAAATCTAGCAGCCGTTCATACATGTACACAAGAAAACCATGTCGGACAAGGCAGTAAGAATGACTGTACGTTGGTGCTTGAAGTGTAAGTCTTATATTATATACATGTATCAATGTCTACCAAAGTTCTTTCTGATGATTTTTAAATTATCAGAATGAACTTTGGTCCACACCACTTCAGATGTCATAACAAGGCCACACCAATTTAATTTCTCGGTAAACGGATTTTTCTAGAAAAATAATGGAGCAGGCAGGCGAAAAAAAGGCCTGGGCATCCTATTATGGCCCAAAATGGTACGTTAACTTAGGAGCTATGAAGTCAACACACCAGGCTGGTTCAAAATTTAAACAATGAATTTTGAACTTTTAATGATACCACTGCATTGAAAGATGGAATACCTGTAACAACTAGGAAGAAAAGGACTGTTTTCAACTGTTCAGGGCAAAATTCGAGCATTTTGCAGTAATTCTGAATTTTTTTTTGCAAATCAGAACAAAATGAAGCGGGCGAATCCGATAACCAAGAAATTAAATTGGTGTGGCCCAAGGTGACAACAGTTGGTGGCTTCTCATTTCACATTCCAAACAATTGTCAACAGAACGAATCTTCAGTTGTGATGAGTTTGTAGTGTGAGGTCATGGCAAAAACACCACAAATACATCAAGACTTACTATTATAGCTCAGACACTCAGTCAGTTCATACTAGATATTTGATATTCTATAAAAGTGCCATATGGGTGATTGTTATGATTTGATTGACATTCAACTAACAGATGAACCACATGTGCACACCAGTCATCTTGAATTTAGCAGCTGTTGAGGCCATGCCAATTTAATTTGTTGCTTCTCGGATTCGCCCTGTCCATTTTTTTCTGATTTGCAAAAAAAAAAAAAAATTTAGGTTCTAAATCAACTGCAAATACTCAATGAAAGACATATTTTGTCCCCAATGGTTGAAAAAAGTCCTTTTCTTCCAAGTTCTTAAGTTTTTCAATGTAACAATGCAATTTTGTTTCCTTAAAAGTTCAAAATCTATTGTTTTAATTATAAACCAGCCTGGTATTTCCAGCTATCATGGGGTGCCTTGGCCTGTTTTTTTATTTTTTTATTTATTTTTTTTCGCCTCGTCGCTCCTGATTTTTTCTGAAAAAAATACGAGAAACAATCAAATTGGTGTGGCCTGAGTCTGATTCACAGAAGTGGCATCCTGCTGATATATAATG